GGCAGTTTTATTCAAGTAACATAAGGGATTTCTACATTCCGTCCTGCGCCAAAATGAAATGTGTAAACAATGACGGTGTACCAAATGAAGCGCCTTACCCTTCTATCACGGATTTACCCCGCGATTATTAAAAGACAATATGTCATGGTGGAACGGTCCTCGATATTTACAATATTCTTGCATTTCATTTTCTTCTTACAATGGTGATCGATCGCATGTAGCTAAAATCAATACCGTACGAAGTAAATCTATAAATGTTAATTGCGGAGTCCCTCAGGGTACGGTGTTAGGCCCATCACTTTTTATACTGTGTATAAAAGTCTGAAGTCTGATGGAATCCCTTACTGTTTTGCTGATGTTACGGTATTCCTTTTTCAATCTGAGTGTTTTGACTTTAGCTTTCCTTTTCCTATTTATCACCGTCTATATAATCTTGAAAGTATAATCTGGCCGAACCATTACCAACGTTTTTTCCCTTCGTCGGCTCTTTTCACCTCAAAGAAGCCGACTCCTTATACAAAAATATCTTTCTACACCGACTTCCTTCTCTACCCCTTCAAAATCCAACATATATAAACATAAAACAGCAATATCTCACTGGCACTCTCAACACGACACGCAAGAATGGCACAATTACACAGAAAACAAACACTTTGATTGAGTAGAAATACTTTGATTGAATATAAAAAAAAATATTTTTTGCATTGTATAAATTCACTTTTTCCACATCCTACATATATTTGTTAAATTTAAACAATGTTTGTAAATCCCAGGCCCTGAAGATGATCTCAATAAAGATCGAAACGTTGGCACGATAAAGAAAATGTTTTTCTGAAACCTACATCACACCAGACCGCGTTTCACGATTTTCGAATAATCTTATGAATACTGTTTCAAAAAATTTCTTTCTAATTAAACAATGGTTAGATTGTAACTTCTTATCAGTCAATACTCACAAATGTTCACTAGTATCCTTTTCTAATGGTAAAAGAGAACATTCAGCAAGAATTAAAGATATTACATTTTCTGTTCAATCTTGTAATAAATGTAATGGTTCTTGCTATACCATTAATTTTGTTGATCAATGTAAATATTTGGGTGTATATTTTGACAGAAATATGAAATTTCAAATTCATGTTGATAAACTCACTGTAAGGATTAGAAGATGTTTTATAGATTCAAAGTACTTGGAGATATTTTGGGATCAAATTTGTTGAAAATAGTCGATTTTGTCCTTTGTCAGTCACTATTACAATATGGGGACATTCTTATATTGTAGCTTTAAAATTTGCTATTACGCATCTAATTAACTTAAGTAATTTTTCTTCTAGTAATTCTAATGTCAATAAGTTTAAAAAACTTTGTATTAAATGTTATAAATTAATTTGTTAATATCTGACAGTTGCTTTTTGATAAATTATTTAAGTAATGTACAGTTATAACGTTTCTTCCATATTTATTTGTGACCTTCTTTAGACTATATGTATTTCATTCAATATGACATTTAAATATATGTATATTCAATTTTCTTATTTTCATAGAGTATGTTACATATCTCTCTCTAATAAAGTGCACAAACTTCGCAACTCCAACTCTCTACTCAAGCTCTTATTGCTGAGGCTTCATAACTATTAAGATAAGTAATAATACGGTAGCAATCTTGTACTTTTCATATTTACTAGTATTATTGTACTTATTGTTTGTACACAAACAAATGATAAATAAAAATTTCAATCACAGATTATACACCCTGTTTAGGCAAGATTCTTTGCAAGGGCAGCGAGCAAATGTAACTTCAAATGACATCCCAAAGTAGAATGTAATTACTAGATAATCTAAACTTGCGAAATTACAGCGCGTTGTGGCGTACTGCATCAGATTCTATAACAATTGTTGCCTGAAATAAAACCCCTGTAGTACCAACCCTTGTTTAAAAAGTGCCGAATTAAAATTTTCGTTATTAAGGATCATTGGACATGTTCGGAAAGGTAATTTCGCAAGGGAACTGTCAGCATTCATCGACAAAGAAGGACTTACGAGTAGGAGCACGTTTGCATAACTCCAATGTACCTAATGATAGTAAATTTCAACTGATACCTCATGATCATTTGATTACAAATTTTACTATTAGGGCAGAAAATATCGCACACCATAGAAATGTGACAACTCAACAAAAGAAAATTTACAGCACAGCAAAATTGAAGTTTACGTTTTTGACTTACGTATTAACGTAAGTGTGTGGTGTTTAGAGACCGTTAGTCAATGATTTTCGGAGATCATGAGATACCGTCTGGTGTGACGTGGTTTTAGAAAAACATTTTCTTTATCATGCCAACGCTTCAATCTTTATTGAGATCATCTTCAGGGCTCAAAGTGTTTGGTGGGCACTCTCAACACGACACACAAGAATGACACACGGAAAAGAAACATTTTGAGCCCTGTAGATGATCTCAATAAAGATCAAAACGTTGGCATGATAAAGAAAGTGTTGTTCTAAAACCTACAACACCAGTACGCACCATTACGGTTGTTGGCAATAAAAACTGTCACGATCCATCAATATTCTTTCTTTTACTCGAGACTTAGCGAAAACACAAAACTTTAAAAGCCCAAGTGAACTACCCCTAACTAAAAAGCTACCCCTTTCTGTTGTGACACTTTTCTTGCATATACTCCCTCTCAGTTATTTAACTTTGTTTGTTCTAACTATAGTGGTGATCAATGAATGACTATAAAAGCATTCATTTTTTGTGATGTGAGAGACAACACCTAACAAACGAGCATAAATACCCACGTAGTCAGTTTTACTAAGATAATTTTTTACCCAAATATGCTTTCTTCTTTAATGTTATTGAAATAAAAGAAACGAAACTAAAATAATATAGGAACACTGTAGATCAAGGTATGGTCTTGAAGAAAAAAGCAAATTCAGTTGTTACTGTCAAGCTTTCGACCTTTTTAAGGTCATCATCAGCGCCTATATTAATTTCACATCATAAAAAACATATTTGTACAACTGATTTAGCAATTGTTTTTCACAATGTGATAATGAGACTCCGCACGCATAAAATGCCACAAAAAACAAGAAAAACTGACATAACTCGAAATGTGCCACTTTTTCTCTTAAATACCCACCGATGCTTTAAAGCTCGACACAGAACTAACATCTGCTACTTTTCGTGAATGGTGAAAGTACAGTTCAAAAGTGTAAGACGTAGTGCCTAGCAGCTAAGAGTCCACCTACAGTTCTGTCGTTTTTCCTGCAGCACCACACAACCGAATACTTAAAAAACACTAAATAATTCGATTTTTATAATTTTTCGACTTCTGTCACTTTTCTTGTAGGTGGGCGATATAAAACTTTCGCACCCAGGCCAAACCTTTTGATAGTTTTGCTGTGTCAAAGGTATTGGATTCCCCAAATTAGCGTGATAATATCGGTCATAGATAGATTGATAAATATAAGGTTTGCTTCAAACTAAGAGCAGCATCATCTCAGCAATTAATAAGAACTACAGTCCAGCCATGTCGTGCTTTTTTAAACTCTGGAGTGGGCTATGCTGGTCCTGTGAGGTTAAAGGTAGGAGGAGTCGGTACAAGAACTATCGTCAAGCTTATATTGCCATTTTCATCTGCTTGGCTAACAAATTTAGGACTTGACCAGTCTGAATACATTCCTTTAACCATACGCCTGATTTACACGCCAGTAAGCGTGCCAGTTGATCTTGCCAGTCAGTGGCAAGTAGCAACTGGCAAAGGATAAACACCTTGTTGCCAGTGACTGGCAATGCCAGCGTGCTACACAAAAATGTCTGATTAACTAGCACTCTCCCACCACTTTTTTGAACTGGCTGCAGTGGGTAAATGATTAGGTCCAGTCTTATTAAAGTTCGATGATTGCCTCGTTAACAACAAATCGTCTATTTAAATAACAAAGTATTGTTAAAATAGTTTAACCGACAGGAGTTTAGAAACAGAACGGAGAGGTTTTTGAAACACTTTTGTACGTTTACACAACATTTTTGTGAAAAAGAGCTGTCGGCTGTTTTGACTACTACTAATGTAAACGAATACTAAAAGAGTACCTCAAGTTGCATGTCAGTTACTAGCTGTGTACAAAGTGCTCGTCCCTGACAGTGCCAGTGCTGGCAATGCCAGTAAGTACCTCAACTGTCATGCCAATAGCATGCAACGTGTAAATCCGGCCTTACAATGGTGAGCGACGTGTCTCGCGATTTCGCGATTTTGCGATTTAGCACGAAGAACGTCATAATGCCTAAACACCTCTGACAGACCAAAGCAGGGAGTGTAGGTGAGTGTGATCGAAAACTACCAAACTAATAAGTCCACAGATTTCAAGAAGAAAAGTCACAATAATGAAATATGAAGATTTGGATAACAATAAACCTACTTAAAACATCGGAAATTACAATGTGAAACTCAATACACCGTTTATTCCATGTTTAAAAAGTGAATACAATAAAATATGTCGATAAAGGTTTTTTATCGATAAAAAACCTTCACAGAACGATGTCAGACAATGAACGGTTCGACTACCTCAGGTGCAAAGGATTTGCGAGTCGTTGCTCTTTTGTGGCTTGGAATGGAATTTTAAGTTTGGAAGAAGAAGAAAAAAAAAGGGACGAGGGAGAAAAGTGCCGTATTATCAAACCATTGTCCGCCTCCACGTAAGCGTATCGGATCTTCAGTTACCGCAAACAATAAATTCTGCCTCTCACCGCGGAGCATTGTGCACCGCAGTCAAGAAAGGATTTCCTCATTTGATTCGAAAACCGGAAGAGCTCGAACAGCTCTTTTCCAGCGGAGTGGACTACAAAAAAAATCACCCTGACCGAATTTTGCATTATGTTTTGACAAAATATTTAGTTTAAATCTAAAAATGTATAATGAATATCATCATTTGACATTCTTGGAAATGTAATTCGTTCCACATTGGACGCGCCTTAAGTCGGAAAAATCTCTAGACAAAATGTACTTACATAGAAGCTCTGGTGTCCGGCAGATCCCTGTTGCTCGGAAGGCGGTCAGACGCTTCCTGGTTGAACCTGTTCCTTAGATAAGGATCTTCACCCTTCCTGAGGGCACCCCCGGCGATGTAGGCCTTTTCGTCTAGATAAGGACCGGCCGTACCTCTCCTCCGGGTCACTGCCTCCGTCTCTGCCTCCAGGAGCTCTTTCAATCTTAAACCCCGGTTCTCCTCCTCGTCCTACACATATTGATTAATTACATTAGTACTACTAACATTTGAAAATAATTGGTATACCTATATACTAATATAACAAAAATATGTCGCGGACGGTCGAGGCCAGGAGATATCGATATTGAGTGGCCCCCTCGCGTTTGGAATTTATTCGGAGCTGTAATGGAGGCACTACCGGATTTCACCTCGTTTGTATTTTATAGGAGGAAAACTGATCGGTAAGAACTCAACATAGTAATAAAAACCTCTAATTCCTCTAATAGAATTGTAAAATGATTAGATGTTTTAGTTAAAGTTGAAACAGCACGGAGTTACTTACTGGGTCGCGGGTTTTGTTAACGAAACGCGTTTCGGCAGTGTGCCATCGTCAGTGAGGAACTCAGTGAGGAAAGGAAGGTGAAAGTTCCTCACTGAAGAAGGCGTAATGCCGAATAACTCAACAAACCCGCGAGTGGAGATAGACCCAGTACGTGACCTACGTGACCCTGTGCCGGTTCAACACGAGTTCACCGACTCGCAGACCAATACCACTAGGTCTTTCCTTTACTTGTCCCGCTTCTAGGCCCTTTAAGAGCTTTGCAGGTTCGCAGACCAATACCATCATCACTCTGTTTTCGTAAAGTTAAAACAAGTTCTTTGTTTCCTAAATGCTTAATATACTTTTTATTCCACCACACTTTTTCCCCTAATTATTACAAACAATTAATGAGCAACTGGGGGGCGTTAGCCGAGTAGTCACAGTGATTGGCGCTCGGCTATTAGACCTGCGGTCATAGGTTCAATTCCCATCTTCACCCCTGGCCTTTTTTCATGCAACCATCCGCCCCGCAATAAAGGGAAAACTATATAATCAACAGAATACGTAAAAAAAAGTAATTGAGTATCGAACCCTACCCCGTCTTAAGCGGAGCTATCTCATAAGGTTATTAGACATATGCTATCGCTACCAGTGATTGGACCGAGCTACAATCACAAACCACTCAACAAGTCCAAATGTCTAAACGCGGCTGGAAGACAAAACCAGCTTGATTGGGAGACCAGGATGATCGGAGACGATCAAATTAGTTTTTCGGTAGATGGTGGGGGTTGATTAATAAATTTAAAAAATCCTTTCCACCACTGCGACCTATAACGATATTTTTATTTTTCTTAATTACTCCTGTGCACAGAGTTGTATTGGATGGAATTGTTGAGGTTAGTCCATCCAATCAAGCTGAAGGTCGATCAACACACCTTACTAAACTTCCATAATAAAAATACACCCCAACAACATAACAAATACACTGATCCATTTACACATCACTGCCATACGAAATATTTTTCTTAAAATCTACATTTATGCTTGGAATGAGATAAAAACGTGCTATAAGGCCAAAAAAATGACAATAATTAAAACAATATACATCCTGGAAATTATTCAAGCATTTCGGATGAATATCAGCTCATCGAAGTGCGAATAAAGTTTAAACAAATTTCATAAGAATTATGAAGTCTATAATGAGTAGAATGGTTTTTATTTTAACGGATCGCTAACCGCTCCGTGCTTTTCCTCGTTTCCGCTTTCTTTAACCTTCCTCTCACGTGCACTCCCAATTTATATTTTCATAGAGTATGTTAAGGCAATTTTTCTGTGTTTATTTTTCCAAGTCTAAATAGGGCCTTTATGTTATAAATTTGCTTTATACCCCGCTACATAAATATTAATTAAAATTTACAATGGTTATAGTAGTATATATCATCAATTGAATTTTTGATGTTAAATAACTACAAAAATGCTTTAAACATCCTTAGAGCGTCACCATGGTAAACGCATTTATCCACTCCGGGATAGAGTATGGAAGTATTTTTACGGTGATTATGCCAAATACATATTAAAAAATTTGGACCAATTTCAGGTCCATGTGGTCTGGTGTTGTTTCGGAACTATGCGATCCATACTCACCAATGGGCTTTTAGTAGAAGACAGTACCCCACTGCAAGTAAGCCGGAAGAACCTACCATGCAAATTCGTAGCGAAACGCTTCAAACTATCTCACCCAGATATTAAATCTCTGACAAATCTGGTTCCTTCACATGTCTTCGTTCGAAAGCGCACTAACAACAAACGTTCCAATTAACTTACTTCACGAAATTGAGAGAGCTCATGCTTGAAAACTTAAAGCGATCGATCTCTCCCCTAATTAAAGGACATACGCTGACCATCAGTTCCGAAGAAAAACGTCAAAAGAAACGTTAAAAGAAAAAAGTCCATTATATTTCGTGGTCCGATTGACTACCATTGAGCGGGATTCCAACCCACGACCTTCGGCTCAATACGCCGCTGCTCTAACCACTTGAGCTATCGTTACTTCGATCCACTCGGACACCAACTCCCCATCTGAACCTATTGTGGGTTCGAATTCCGCTCGAGACGCTAACTTTTTCATTTTAGCCCATACCTTACATTAAGATTAATTAATTGAAAGAAGTTATTTGGTCAATCGGACCACGAAATGTAATGGATTTAGTAAGTAAAACGAAGTATATCTTCACTAAGAGCTCTCCGTCGCCCTTTCATTTGTCGCCGAGAATCGAATCCTCCTTACACGGCATTTGAAAAATAGCAAAAAGGAGGGAAAATTCAAAAGGTGGGTTGAGATAGGAAGTTGGTGTCCGAGTGGATCGAAGTCACGATAGCTCAAGTGGTAGCGCAGAGGCGTATTTAGCCTAGGGTCGTGGGTTCGAATCCCGCTCGTGACACTGACTTTTTTATCTCAACCAATACCTTATATAAAGATTAATTAATTGAATAACTAGTATCTTTGTAGCAGAGTGCCTGGCCATTAGAGAAGCGCTCAAATACGGCCACAATACGCCGACTAGGAACCCTTTAATTATTATGACTTCCAGAGCTCCTTAGCTGCTTTAGGAAGTATATCCGAAAGTTGGCTAGCTCTCGAATTGAAATTTTTATCATTTTTAAAAAGACAGTTCCTACTCACAGTAAGTTGTTTTGCAACGATCCGGATTTCGAGCTCTTTAGCTCATCAGGTTGAAGGATTTCCACAACCACGTCTCTCAGCGTAACCAGCTATCAGCGGTTCACGTTTGCATTCATGTCGAGAGACGTGGTTGTAGAAGTCCTTCAACCTGATGATGAGCTAAAAGGCTCGAAATCCGGATCGTTGCAAAACAACTTAACCTTGTGAGTAGGAACTATCTTTTTAAAAAGGATTGAACACCACACTCACTCCATCATTTATCATTTCTATTAAATTTTTATTGTATGCACATGCACAAAGAGAACAAAAAGATTTGCCTTATGTGGATTAAGGACAGTACGAATCACTTCAATAACCGCGTGGATCGACTGGCAAAGGATGCAGTATCGAGACTAGTGATACCAACGTAAAATATATTCACGAGGAAAATGGCTACAAATTTATGACCAATCCAAACGTGAAAGAGGTAAATTTTATTCCGCCATCCAACCAGAAATCCAAAAGAAGATTTAATTCTCTACTAAAATACCTGTCCCAAGGGATTTTTTTACCTCCATTACTAAGAATGCTTTCAACTACAATAGCTCCCGTAACACGTTTTCAGACTAAACCTTATTAGTTCCATTTGTTACTGCAATATTAACGCAATAGCCGATGCGGACCATGTATTGTCGGAATGTCAAAGGAAAGTCACCAAAAGAAAAAGGAGGAACTGTTTTAGGCGCAGGTCGCCCATGGAACAACTCTCCCCATCAACATTCAAACTATTGAGATTAATACAAAAAACGTTAAGAAATTAAAAGATCTATATAATTATATAAAACTTAATGAAATTCAAATATAAGTATGTACCTATCAGTAGAGTAACCACAGGCATAGCAATATGTTTATGCCCTAGCCAGAAAAAAAATTACGTTATATTGGCAGAACATTTCTGGTCGGTAAAATAAACTTTTTTAAACACAACTTAATTTTCTTTCGGCTTCTTTCGATATGATGAATGAAGTTGTGTAAAAGGATTTTTACGGTAGAGAAAAATAAGGACAGATGATGACTTTTTTTTTAAAGCGATTTGGTACAAACCGAACCTTGTAACACTATGCTACCGGCTCTGCTCTTGGCATCGGCTCTACTGGCCGGTGTCCTGTCCTCGATCCCCTTCCCCCAAACGTGACCGGGCATCTAGACTGACGTTCAGTATGTGCGGATTATATTTGGGATAATGAAGGGATTAACTAGGACGTAGATAAAAATAGAACGCTTGTAATTTGGCGATGGCCTATCTCAGGGGGCCAGTTTGAGATTACGATTCACGGAGTCGAAATCCGCCCAGATTAAACCGAGGCTCGCCTAGTCCAATTTTTAATTACCGTTTTCTTAACGAGTATAATTTCATTGCCGGATGCACACCATTTGAAATGGACCGTCGAGCCTCGCTCTCTCCGCTCACCTACGTTCATTTTTACAGGCAGTTCCATTAATTACAAACCGGAATATTTTAATGAACAAAAAAAATTAAATTATAAAGATCAACGAACCAATAAATAACCTAAATAAAAAATCTTTACGTAAGATATTGGCTGAAATGAAAACGGTAGAGTCATTAGCGGGGATTCGAACCCTCGACCTTCGGCTCAATACGCCGCTTCACTAACCACTTGAGCTCGTGAATTCTATCCACTCGGATACCAACTCCCCATGTCAACCTACCTTTCGAATTTTTCCCTCCTTTTTGCCATTTTTCAAATCTCGAGTAAGCGGGATTCGATTCTCGTTGACAAATTAAATGGCGACGGAGAGCTCTTAGTAAAGATATACTTTGTTTTACTTATTAAATCCATTATATTTCGTCGTGCGATTGACCAAATAACTTCTTTCAATTAATTAATCTTTACGTAAGGTATTGGCTGAAATGAAAAAGTTAGCGTCACGAGCAGGATTCGAACCTACGATAAGTTGAGATGAGGAGTTGGTGTCCGAGTGGATCGAAGTCACGATAGCCCAAGTGGTTAGAGCAGCGGCGTA